AGGTCTGCTGGCTAATTAATTGACACTGTTTTGAATATTCATATCTAATATAGCCAGTATGCTCTTAATTACATTGTTGGACTTTTCTCCAAGGAGGCTAAATCACCAAAGACTTAATTAATGTAATGTATTCCAGAACTGGCTGGCTCWAAAGGAAGACAGTTGCTGTCAAGTGTTGCACCATGACACCTGGCTGCTGATGAACAGTCTTTTGTTATTACTCTTTGCAGGAGACCGGGAAAGTTTTTGTTGTTATTGTTGCTATTAGTAGTAATGTTTCCCCCTTCATTTAAAGAGACAGCAAGTGAGAAAAGCGCTACAGTCGGGCGCGGCGTTCGTGGCTCTTGTGAACACCGCACACGTCGCGAACCGGGGCTGCCGACGCTCTCAGGTGTTCGGGACCCTGCGCGGCCCCGGGCCCCTCTCCCCTTTGCTCAGCTCTCCTCCTCTGCCCTCCTCKGCCCTCCGCCCCGCTCCTCTCCGCGGGAGCTGCTGGCGTGGACCGAGCGCCCGGAGGCGCGGAGCGAGCAGCCCGCAGAGCCTCCGCGGGCAGGGGCCGGCCCGGGCTTGGGGTGCCGGACTGGGACCGCAGCCTTCCTACAGCCGGCTGCGCATCCTGCTCGCATCACTCCCACATTGCAGTCGAGGCGGCAGCCCKACGTTTTCCTTTTCTTTTTAGGGGTGGTAGCAGCAGCCGCGTCTCCCGCCGTGCCCGCCGCCAGGACAGCAGGCTGTGCAGGGCCCACACCGGCACAGGCWTTTGACAGAGGCGCCGGCCTTCCCTCATGCAACTTAGGTTACTGCCAGCAACAACCAAACYCCTCAAACTGCCCATCACTTCCAGGAGTACCCTGGCAGAGCTGGCAAAGTGAGTGCAGAGTGCAAGCACCCCCTGACATCGGCTGCTGAGACAAGACGGGGAAGTGTGGCGTTGGTTTGAGAAGGGAAATGTGGGTGGGCGCTGACATGTCGCTTCAAAGAGACCAACCGATCTCCCTTCGTACAAAAGCAAACCAAAAAATACGGTTCGGCTCTACTGTTATTTTGGTGCGTTTTCTCGCCAAGAGCGGCGATCCGTTCTTCGGGGGATGTCCTCATCTTCTGCTGCACCCACTTCTCATGAAAGGCAGGTGTGATTATCCTGCATCCTGCCTAACTTGACTTCGCCTTGAAATTAGCAGCGCTGCCAGCAAGTCATGAGTAACAGAAGGACTGAGTTCCCGGTGAAACGGGCAGAATGAAGGGGGAAAATACCACAGAGAGGGAGGAAAGAAGATGAAGCGCGTCTTCGCGCTGGCATTACCTGTCCTAATGCAAGAACAGAGCCCATTCCTCCGCTGAAACGGGCGGACTCTGAGCTWAAGGCTTGCAGGAGGAGGAGGGAGGTGAAGGCTTTTTCCGTACCCGAAGGTACCTGCCTAATCAAGGAGGGAGCATATCTTGACTCTTATCAAGCTGGCCCTCCACCAATGTTGCTCTGCACTCTTTTCCTCAATTATTCAACTCTTGACAAACGAAGCTTTTTTCACCCTGCGTCACCAAAGCCCTCTCCAAAGCTAGCCTTCACTAAGGCAGGCAGACTGCGGCAAAACTGGAAGGCAGGTATGTAGCAAAGCAAGCAAAAGGAAGATGATAATCACCCTGCTCCAACAAAGCCACGGCCGTCTTAGAGAGATAGAGCTTTGCCCGAGAATTGAAAGCATCTGAGGGAGTGCAACCAGAAGTAATTTCTCGACAGCAACAAAACTTTACAGTGATTTTACTGAAAAAAAAAAAAAAAAAAAAAAAAAAAAAAAAAAAAAAAAAAAGACAAACTGTTGCCGCGTCGGGAGGGCTACAGAGGCAACTGAAGTAACCGAGGGTGGCTGCCAGAAACGTAACGTTAGTAAAACATTATCCCCTCAAATTCTGAACTGGCCCGGTTGCTATCAGGCCGATTACCTCAGGTGTGTTTCTTTGAGTACTTGTCTTAGAGGCTTCAAGAAATAAGTCTCGCTTTCACAAACATCTGGGTGGACCSCAGCCCTGCGGTGATGTTTCCCCATAAACGCGCGTAGCAATTGGCTGGCAGCTAGCCCGTGCATGCGAGCCTTATCGAATAGCTTGGGAAGGGCTCCTGTTAAACGCGGATTTGCTCCGACACCCCCCTGTCCTACCTTGGAGGCCGACGGGAGCGCAGAGGACAGAGGTGGCAGCACGGCAGCCCCAAGCTTCCCGCGGCGGTGCCCGCCGGACGATRGTATCCATCGAGATATCCGACTCTCTCCCTCCGTTCCCAACCTCCCCCACGCCTTCCCGGGGAAACAGCGAGTTACCACTGCCCCGAAAGCGGCCGCGTTTGGGAAGGGATGGGAGAAGAGTAAACGCAAACAGCGCTTTACGGGTCTCACCGGTCTCCAGGGATGGATCGGTTCTCCCATGGGAAAAAAAAACCAAAAAAACCCAAGAAAACAAAACAAACCCGGCTGCAGCGGAGATGAAGAGGGCAAAAGTGAGAATGGGCCAGGCTAAATTCTCACACATGTCTTACGAGGAAAAGCGCCGGGTGGCTAACCGGTGAGGTGATGGAAACAATGGCTTTACGATCCAGGATTTAGAATTTTAGGGTAGGAGCAGGGCTTTTATTTGTTTAGGACAGGATTAAGCGGTAAAATACGAATAAAATGTTTTGGCGCAAAATGTATAGGCACATCAGGAAAGATAYCGAAATGCCGAATCTCGCCATGCTGGCAATACCAGGAATAGCTTCCCAAGATGCACGATGTAAATGTTGCTGCCACCGTGCCTCCTAGTTTCTCAGAGGAAAGTGAATGTTTTGGACAATAATCTCAAAGTTTTTTTTTAAAATCACACACTTTCTCGTGGAACTTGTCTTTGCAAAATACTTATTCTCATTATTCACCTTTGATTATGCTTTTCACCTGACTGACCTTGATCGGATATAAAAACTGTTAAATACATGTTACTTGAGGGTGAGTTTAAAATTAGTCTTTTCCTTCGCCCCCGGCAGAGATTATAAACAAACAACTATAACSTTTTTTTCTTCCCCGACCCCCACTCCTTCCTCATCACCACTTCTACCTGCAACGCCTGACTGGGAGACAGACAAACAAGTTTGCTATTCAWACCGGGTCCCCCGACGGCGGAAGCGGGACACAGGGGGCGTCGCCGGCCGGATTCTGCCCCAGCATTGCTACAGCCGCCGATAACCGCGCGGGACAGACACCCGTGGGGTCTGACCCACCATACC